AACAATAACCTGCTATACAGCTGCCCTGGAGGTACTCGACCCTGGAGGTACTCGACCCTGGAGGTTCTCGACGAGGACTTCCCGGCGTGCTTGAACGTGCTGACTTCTATCTGTGATAAGATTGTAGCCCAAGGCTTCATACCTTAAAGAAGACTTAACTGGAATGTTTACTCATGAGACAGATTTAATAAATTCATGACTGCACAGGAACGGAGCTGGTGTGAACACATATGAGGGATTTGCTAAATGTCCTGCTAGTTTTTGTCTATAGATAAATAATAATATGTGCTTGCTAATGGGGCTACAAAAATGAAGTCACTGTAAAATGTCATAGGCGGGTTTTTTCATGGGTGCTCCCAAGTTGTAGAAGGTCCTAAAGAAATAGGTTTTGAGTTCGCTCTTAAAAATGTCGCGGAGGTCAAACCAGATATTGCCATTTTTGCTCGGTTATTGACAGTTATGTGATTTCTTGAGGATAGTATGACCGTAGTACCCACACTTGTTAATGTCATACGACTAGAGTTCGTTTTCAATTGCAATCTTCAACAAAAAAGAACAAAAAAAAAGAAACGCATAAGCCAAAAATAAGAAATGTATTAAACGTATTTAAGTACAATGTATACATAGGTCGATTAAGCTTGAACATAGTTGAAAGAAATTCGACACAGAGATGATCATATGCATTGTCAGAACAGGTCCAACTTTTGGTCGATGTGCTCGAATTTCCACTTCTCTAGGACAATTTCTGAAGGTTTGGTCGGAGTTGTTCAAAGACCGGGCACATGCCCTGCAGTGTCCGTTGCTGTAGCAAATCGATGACGTAGGTGAAACACCCGGATGAATCGGTCTTGAACAAGAGTGGTCACTCTTGGCCTTTCACTTCTGGGACGATCTTGAGTCGAATTGAAGCGGGTATATCGAGATATGGTGCTGTGGTGGACGTTGAAGTGTCTTGCAAGGATAGACTGGGACTCCCCTGCTTCCAATCGTCTAATGGCGATATTTCGGTCGGAAGCATTTAATCTTGGCATTTTTATTATCTTCGTTTACGTCGTAAATTTTGTAATTAAATTATGAATTTGGTTTAGTCTTTTATAGCCAATGTCTCTACTCATATTTACGACACATTGCACAACCTTTTTCTGAATGCACACTTCATCTATCGTTTTCATGTTTTATGACAAACGTTTAAAACACATTTTGGGATACGTTTGCGGGCAATACACAAAAACCTCGACATGATTAACGAGATTCAAACATAGGAATTGTCTGAATGACGACTGCTCTAAAACAAATATCGAAATGAACTGCTAAAAACGCGTATGTTTGGATACGTTACGTTCCTTGCTTTAACTAACAATACCATACTGATACTATAAAAATGTGGGTGTTGCGATACTTGTGCAGGCATAGACTTCCGAGACTTGTACTTCAGATGCAAAGTCGGCGTGTGAAGATTCCCCGATGCTACCGCCTGACACACTCGATGTAGTGGCGATTGTTTGCCGTTCTGTATGGATCTTCCCGCACCTGTTAAGTGATCCAAGGTTCCCCACACGTCCGTATAGTTCCAGGTACATTGAGATTGCGTCAAGACCTCGTCCAGTCTGGTCAGTTCGTGGGGGCGTGACTGGTAGCCCGCTGCCGCATAACTGGCGACATCATCGAAACAATCAAATGACTCCAAGTTGAGGAACTAACGCTTCATGCACTCTTTCACTTGCCATGTTCTGTCTGGGGACCAGTTGAACTGAACCAATAGCATGCTCTATACAGCAGTTCAAACAAGGAATAACATTGATTTCGCCTTGATTTTACACATCGAATCCGTACATCGTATAGTTTTATTGTGTTTAATGAATAGCTTACCAGAGTTAATTTATATGGCAAAACTAGCTCACTCACTCACTCAACAGAGACGATAGTTACAAGCCTACTCACCCTACCTCTGGCTGACGGGTTGGGTCGATAGCTGAATTACGGTATCATGCATACTCCTTTAATTTACTATGTCATACATTAGCGGCGAAACATATTAATGGTTCGCTGGAAATCAGTGACACTGGGTATTTGGCGAAAACTGTACAATTTTCGTACAAAAGTAAGTGGTTGGTGCCTGCCTAACGCCTCACAGCGCAATACTTGTCCTGAATTCACGAGAATACACTGGGCAGATATGCTGTGTAATTAAGTCATCTGTTTCATGATAAGCGAATGAATGGCCATGTATACAACATGCATGTTAAAGGAAAACAGAGTCGTGTCTAGATTCGCGGATGAGAATAGCAAGCACAATATAGAACAGCAGTCTGTATTCACGTACATTAACCAGTGAAGTATTGACAATATGTAAGGTGAAATATGTGTTTTGTTGGCTTAATTAGGTAAAGCTTGATAAACGCCATTGATATAGTTTAGGATCTTTTACTTAATAGCTGGATAGTTTTACTTAATAGCTGGGTAGTTTTACTTAACAGCTGGATTGTTTTATTTAATAGTTGGATAGTTTTACGTAATAGCTGGGTAGTTTTACTTAACAGCTGGATTGTTTTACTTAATAGTTTGATAGTTTTACTTAACAGCTGGATTGTTTTACTTAATAGTTTGATAGTTTTACTTAACAGCTGGACTGTTTCACTTAATAGTTGGATAGTTTTACTTAATAGCTGGGTAGTTTTACTTAACAGCTGGATTGTTTTACGACGTAATAGTTGGATAGTTTTACTTAACAGCTGGATTGTTTACTTAATAGTTGGCTAGTTTTACTTAATAGTTGGATAGTTTTACTTAACAGCTGGATTGTTTACTTAATAGTTGGCTAGTTTTACTTAATAGTTTGATAGTTTTACTTAACAGCTGGATTGTTTTACTTAATAGTTGGATAGTTTTACTTAACAGCTGGATTGTTTACTTAATAGTTGGCTAGTTTTACTTAATAGCTGGGTAGTTTTACTTAACAGCTGGATTGTTTTACTTAATAGTTTGATAGTTTTACTTAACAGCTGGATTGTTTTACTTAATAGTTTGATAGTTTTGCTTAACAGCTGGATGTTTCCTTAATAGTTTACTTAACAGCTGGATTGTTTTACGACGTAATAGTTGGATATAGTTTTACTTAATAGTTGGGTAGTTTTACTTAATAGTTGGATAGTTTTACTTAACACGACTTAATAGTTGGCTAGTTTTACTTAATAGTTGGATAGTTTTTTACTGCTTAATAGTTGGATAGTTTTTACTTAACAGCTGGATAGTTTTACTTAACAGCTGGATTGTTTTACTTAATAGTTGGATAGTTTTACTTAATAGTTGGATAGTTTTACTTAACAGCTGGATTGTTTTACTTAATAGTTGGATAGTTTTACTTAACAGCTGGATTGTTTTACTTAATAGTTGGATAGTCTTTACTTAACAGCTGGATTGTTTTAATAGTTAAGTTTTGCTTGGATTTTTTACTTAATAGTTGGATAGTTTTACTTAACAGCTGGATTGTTTTTACTTAATAGTTGGATAGTTTTACTTAACAGCACGGATTGTTTTACTTAATAGTTGGATAGTTTTACTAATAGTTGGATGGTTAGTTTTACTTAATAGTTGGATAGTTTTACTTTACAGCTGGATTGTTTTACTTAATAGTTGGATAGTTTTACTTAACAGCTGGATTGTTTTACTTAATAGTTGGATAGTTTTACTTAACAGCTGGATTGTTTTACTTAATAGTTGGATAGTTTTACTTAATAGCTGGATTGTTTTACTTGGATACAGCTGGATTGTTTTACTTAACAGTTGGATAATAGATTGTTTTACTTAATAGTTGGATAGTTTTACTTAATATAGTTTTACTTAACAGCTGGATTGTTTTACTTAATAGTTGGATAGTTTTACTTAACAGCTGGATTGTTTACTTAATAGTTGGCTAGTTTTACTTAATAGTTGGATAGTTTTACTTAACAGCTGGATTGTTTACTTAATAGTTGGCTAGTTTTACTTAATAGTTGGATAGTTTTACTTAACATCTGGATTGTTTTACTTAATAGTTGGATAGTTTTACTTAACAGCTGGATTGTTTTACTTAATAGTTGGATAGTTTTACTTAACAGCTGGATTGTTTTACTTAATAGTTGGATAGTTTTACTTAACAGCTGGATTGTTTTACTTAATAGTTGGATAGTTTTACTTAACAGCTGGATTTTTTTACTTAATAGTTGGATAGTTTTACTTAACAGCAGGATTGTTTTACTTAATAGTTGGGACTTTTTTACTTAATAGTTGGATAGTTTTACTTAACAGCTGGATTGTTTTACGGATTGTTTTACTTAATAGTTGGATAGTTTTACTTAACAGCTGGATTGTTTTACTTAATAGTTGGATAGTTTTACTTAACAGCTGGATTGTTTTACTTAATAGTTGGATAGTTTTACTTCACAGCTGGATTGTTTTACTTAATAGTTGGATAGTTTTACTTAACAGCTGGGATTGTTTTTAGCGTAATAGTTGGATAGTTTTACTTAACAGCTGGATTGTTTTACTTAATAGTTGGATAGTTTTACTTAACAGCTGGATTTTTTTACTTAATAGTTGGATAGTTTTACTTTACAGCGGGATTGTTTTACTTAATAGTTGGATAGTTTTACTTCACAGCGGGATTGTTTTACGTAATAGTTGGATAGTTTTACTTCACAGCTGGATTGTTTTACTTACTAGTTGGATAGTTTTACTTAACAGCTGGATTGTTTTATTTAATAGTTGGATAGTTTTAAAAGAAAACTTGCGATGGGATAGCATAGTCGTTTAAACGTTTGCAAAAAACGTTTAAAACAAATCGGTTTGTCTAGAATATACAAATCGACCAAGTTAATGCTGAAAATATGTAATTATAAACTCTTAAATATAAAAGATAACAATCTGATTGATGTACATGGTGTTCTCAACGGTAATGTTTTATGCTTCCTCCAACTTCATTCGTGATTTTAGGATAATATGAAAATTGTGATGATTCATACCTGGCGTGTTCCCGGCGACGGCAGTAACAACACGTATGGCCAGATGTTGCGTGAACTCTCTTATATGTCCTCTTGCTCTTATCTGGATTATCAACTGGGACAATCGATTGCGACATTCAGGGTAATGTGCTGTTTCACTGGAACACTGATAACACAGACTACCAGGTATCACCGTATGTTTATGGTAGGTAGGTAGGTAGGTAGGTGCTGCATGACTTATTTGAACCTGCTGCATGACGTGCTGTAACCTGTTGCATGACATGCTGTAATGTGCTGCATGACATGAAGTAATGTGCTGCAGGACGTATTCTGTAACCTGCTACATGGCATGAAGTAATGTGTTCCATGACATGTTGTAACCTGCTGCATGACATGAAGTAATGTGCTGCATTAAATGAAACCCAAGTGGTTTCAGATATACACTAAACGCCAAAAGAAACTTTACCCTCCTTCCTTAATGACGGAAGTACCTATCTTCAGCTGGCGTTGGGATGCGTGGACATCCACTTCTTGGTCTGTCTATGGGGACCCAAGTCTGTCTGAAACCCTGAATAAATCTTATAACCGTGATACGGTGGCATCCGAGTGCGTTGGTAACGACATTGTATGTCGACCCCATCTGCACCATTATAATGACTCTTTCTCCGTCTTCAGCTGTTAATTGTGGCATATATCTCGTACTTGTGTATCATATCATGTACCCTTGGCTCACTTAATACCCTATAGAATCATTCTACATGTGAAATGGATGCTAGTACTGCTTGAATATTGCTGCGTTTTGGCGATGGATATTGCTATGTGTAAACAGAAAATGGAAAAAATGTTACCTTGCAAGCAGAAATGTTAACAAAGATAATTTAAGATGCTCCTAAACAGTTTTTCACAATATCAAAAAAAACCGTTTTACTCGTTTTCACTAATGCAAATCAGCAGAAAATGTTTTAAAAGACTGAAATCGTGGGAATGATTAATTTTCAATTTTACACACTCTACAAAGGTTGTTTCTTGTTTTAATAGTTGGTGACTTTAAATGGTTTATCTTTGTCTCAAAGCAGAATTTTATTTCAACCTTTCTTTTGGACATCTAAATCACTGTTACTGGTTTATTTCGGCATTGACGAAAATAGGACAATTTAACTCTTTTGAAAACGATGCATTTCACCTAAATACGAATGCATTTGAGAATTATTTGTCGTGATTTGCATAAAGCTGTGTTGTTAAGCTTTCTTGTAAACTAATACCTTCTAACATATCTTTGATAGTTTTTACGTAATTCATAAGTGTAGGAGGGTAACGTTTCTTTTGGCGTTTAGTGTATGTTCCGGACAGAAATATATTACTGACAGACAGGATGACAGATGACAAGCTGATTACTATATCGTCCGTGTTACAAACGGGAGGGAATACAGTCCTGATTGTTTTCACTGGATTAGGACAGCCGCAATGTCGAGCTGATTCCAGGATTCATTTGCAAAACACATAACGCGGTATTTCATCAAGTACAATAGGTTGCATGGATTGGAAACGGATTCTTTTTAGAAAGCTGATGACGGAACACATTGGCAAGCATTGAGAAGTGTTGTGCCTGGTGTCCATTGTCCCGCCATATTGCTGGAAATATTGCTGAATGAGGCGTTAAACAACAACCAATATTACGTTGTAACTATGCAGATTCTCTTATAGTGATCAGTCAGTGGTCCTCCAGACAGCTGCCGCCTGTCAGTGTGACCTGTCTGTAACGTTATCAAAGGCTGCAGAGAAAAAAAAATCGACTTTGATTTGCAGGAGCGATTACAATTACGATTACAGGTTGTCGATATGCACGTGCTAATCTTTATAGGCCCATAGTACATATATTACTATGCTGTACACACTAATTACTTTCTAATTACCTACCTCATGTAAATTCAATAAATGCATGCAAGCTTTGTCATCTAGGGGTTATTCATCACCTGTATAAGCTACATATTGTCGACTATTCTGTTTTCTTTAAGATATCAGTACGCAAATCCAACAAATTCTTTGGCGCTGAGGTTTGGGGTAATAATAATTTCTATAAAATTGAAAATCTCCATCTCACTGCATCTAAAAGGTTTTTAAACGGTGGTGGTGTTACCCCTGTCTATGCTCAAACGGAAGTTGACCGTCATCAAAAACCATTTCCCCGACAGACAGTCGATCCCGAAAGAGAGCGAGTCCCCAACTTTTTGATAGTTCCAAATAGTAAATGTTTATGAAATCGACTTGTCTTATAAGCTGAATGGTCATGGATTATAACCCCCACATCATTTGGTCATGACACATTATATCTTAGTTACATTTGAAGGATTTCTTGACACGTCTTTCGGCGCGAATTAGAAAAGCCGAGAAATCGACCACTTTCGACGTCTTTACAACATAATCTACTGAATTCATTTCAAGTATCGTGCATTTTAGGTTGAATGAATCTTAATTATATATAACTTGACCGAAATGGTAGTTGATGACGGTCATCTCAGTTCCACCGTCAACCTGTGTGAACAACATCTCAGTTCCACGTGTGTAAACTACATCTCAGTTCCACCTGTGTAAACTACCTTTCAGTTCCACGTGTGTAAACTACATCTCAGTTCCACCTGTGTAAACTACATCTAAGTTCCACCGTAAACCTGTGTAAACTACATCTCAGTTCCACCGTTAACCCGTGTAAACTACATCTCAGTTCCACCGTTAACCTGTGAAAAACTATACCTCAGTTCCCCCGTTAACCTGTGTAAACTACATCTCAGTTCCACGTGTGTAAACTACATCTCAGTTCCACAAGTGTAAACTACATCTCAGTTCCACCGTTAATCTGTGTAAACTACATCCCAGTTCCCCCTTCAACCTGTGTAAACTACATCCCAGTTTCACCGTCATCCTGTGTAAACTACATCTCAGTTCAACCGTTAACCTGTGTAAACTACATCTCAGTTCCCCCGTCAACCTGTGTAAACTACATCTCAGTTCAGCCGTTAATCTGTGTAAACTACATCCCAGTTCCCCCTTCAACCTGTGTAAACTACATCTCAGTTCCACCGTTAACCTGTGCAAACTACATCCCAGTTCCCCCGTTAACCTGTGTAAACTACATCTCAGTTCCACCGTTAACCTGTGTAAACTACATCCCAGTTCCACCGTTAACCTGTGTAAAACTACATCTCAGTTTCCACCTGTTAACATCCTGTGTCAAAAACTACATCCCAGTTCCCCGTCAACCTGTGTAAACTACATCTCAGTTCCACCGTTAACCTGTGTAAACTACATCTCTGTTCTATCGTTAAACTGTGTAAACTACATCCCAGTTCCACCGTTAACCTGTGTAGAATACATTCCAGTTCCCCCGTCAACCTGTGTAAACTACATCTCAGTTCAACCGTTAACCTCTGTAAACTACATCTCAGTTCCACCTGTGTGAACAACATCTCAGTTCAACCGTTAACCTGTGTAAACTACATCTCAGTTCCACCGTTAACCTGTGTAAACTACATCTCAGTTCCACCTGTGTAAACTACATCTCAGTTCCACCGTTAACCTCTGTAAACTACATTTCAGTTACACCGTCATCCTGTGTAAACTACATCCCAGTTCCACCGTCATCCTGTGTAAACTACATCCTAGTTCCACCGTCATCCTGTGTAAACTACATCTCAGTTCAACCATTAACCTGTGTAAACTACATCCCAGTTCTCCCTTGAACCTGTGTAAACTACATCCCATTTCCACCGTCATGCTGTGTAAACTACATCTCAGTTCCACCGTTAACCTGTGTAAAATACATCCCAGTTCCCCCGTCAACCTGTGTAAACTACATCCCAGTTCAACCGTTAACCTGTGCAAACTACATCTCAGTTCCACCTGTGTAAACTACATCTCAGTTCCCCCGTCAACCTGTGTAAACTACATCTCAGTTCAACCGTTAGCCTGTGCAAACTACATCTCAGTTCCACCTGTGTAAACTACATCTCAGTTGCACCGTTAACTTGTGTAAACTACATCTCAGTTCCACCGTCATCCTGTGTAAACTGCGTCCCAGTTCCACTGTCATCCTGTGTAAACCACATGTAAGTTCCACCGTTAACCTGTGTAAACTACACTACAGTTCCCCCTTCAACTTGTGTAAACTACATCTCAGTTCCACCGTTAACCTGTGTAAACTACATCTCAGTTCCACCTGTGTAAACTACATCTCAGTTCCACCGTTAACCTCTGTAAACTACATTTCAGTTCCACCGTCATCCTGTGTAAACTACATCCCAGTTCCACCGTCATCCTATGTAAACTACATCTCAGTTCAACCATTAACCTGTGTAAAGTACATCCCAGTTCCCCTTGAACCTTTGTAAACTACATCCCATTTCCACCGTCATGCTGTGTAAACTACATCTCAGTTCCACCGTTAACCTGTCTAAACTACATCCCAGTTCCCCTTCAACCTGTGTAAACTACATCTCAGTTCAACCGTTAACCTGTGTAAACTACATCTCAGTTCCACCGTCACCTGTGTAAACTACATCCCAGTTCCACCGTCATCCTGTGTAAACTACATCTCAGTTCAACCGTTAACCTGTGTAAACTACATCCCAGTTCCCCCTTGAACCTGTGTAAACTACATCCCAGTTCCACCGTCAACCTGTGTAAACTACATCTCAGTTCCACCGTTAACCTGTGTAAACTACATCCCAGTTCGGATTTCCCCGTCAACCTGTGTAAACTACATCTCAGTTCAATGGTTAACTTGTGTAAACTACATCTCAGTTCCACCGTGTGTAAACTACATCCCAGTTCCCACTGTCATCCCAACCTGTGTAAACTACATCCCAGTTCCATCAACCTGTGTAAACTACATCCAGTTCCACCGTTAACCTGTGTAAACTACATCCTCAGTTCCACCGTCATCCTGTGTAAACTACATCCCAGTTCCACCGTTAACCTGTGTGTAAACTACATCCCAGTTCCCCCGTTATCCTGTGTAAACTACATCCCAGTTCCCCGTTAACCTGTGTAAACTACATCCCAGTTCCCCCGTTAACCTGTGTGAAACTACATCCCAGTTCCACCGTAAACCTGTGTAAACTACATCCCAGTTCCCCGTTCAACCTGTGTAAACTAC